CGAGAACTGAGGCATCGCAAACTACTGATCGCTCAACTCAGTCTTCTCACTGCAGAGAACTCCCCACTGGGATTCCCTCCTCCCATCTCTCTGTTCCTCCAGTGCTTTTTGGGGGTACAGACAGAAGGGGGCTGACACAGCTAGTTCTGGCTATACAGAGGCAGAGCCAGCTGTCAATTAAGCAGTGGGGTGGATCCCGACAATATTGTCAGGATCTTTCCCAGCTGCGGTGCTGCTCTGTGTTGGCAGCATATAGTGGGCAATAGCTCACTATCTGCTAACTTTGGGTCACAGGAGTACATTGCACTGCAAATGGGGGGTGGCTCAAATTTTGGTCAGGAATAATACACTATTGTGTGCAACAGATTTGAAAGCATTTTGTACCCATGTAGACCTGATGACATCTCTTGAAAGCTATATCAAGTACACCTCTGTTCAGTGTACTAGATTGTTTCCCTGTGCAAATGTTTACAAATGTCTAAAATAGACCTGTGTTCAGTAAGAAGCAGTCACTTAAATCTAAGATAGATAGTAATACAGCACTCACCTGGCTTGTGGCGGACTTTCTGTGCTCAGAAGAACGTATGTTTACAAAGTACACACACAGTGTCAAAACTCAAAACATTGAGAGGTACAAAAATGTAAACTGCTCAATCTCACGCACATGTGTTTTTATGTCTTGGTGAAAAAATGATTGCAATCTCCTAGTTCTGGGGGATCGTTTCTCTGATGACTTCTGTCCATGACGAGGATCCGTTTCTAAAAAGATCTAGCCCCTATCTTTGGGACACCCCCCGCCACATTCAAAGTCACTAACTAAAACCTAAAAAGAAGTACAATACTGACCTTAGAAAACTTGTTTCCTGCTTTCCTCCCCAGACCTTGTATCCTGTAAGAACAATGTGTGAATCTTAGGTGAAATCATTTATATATAGACCACCTAGTGTGCTTCACAAAAAACAGGTGAGCAAGTGGCCTACTACCATTCTTTCATGCAAGCAATGAAAATACTGATCAGTTACTTGTACTTGGGCCTGAAAAAGTGGCATCGGGACATCCCTAAGTATAATATTCAGGTTCATTTTTAGATAACCCTGTGAGGGCAGCCTGCAGTTGAAATACAGTTGTAATCAAAATTATTTAACCCCCATTGCAAATCAGGTTTATTGGCAAAACATACAAACTTTCAGCTGTTTGCAAAGAACAAATCAAACCTAAAAGCAATCGACATAGCTCAGCACAAGGAATGTTTCAAGTGGTTTCCCCAAATTCAACTGAAAATTGAACTTTTTTGCAGTCTCAACATTATTTAGCCACCTGAATAGAATCCCTCACAAGAGCGCACATCTGCAGAACAAGTGCTGCCTCAAGCACACCTGATGATCAAGAGCTTCATTACTAGCGACCAGTCATCTGCTTCTTCATTGGCCACAGGCTGGAAATATGGTCAAATATGCTCAAGGCCTAGTTGTATTACTTCTCTCCAGCAGAGATAAGTCCGGTCTCCAGGCTGACTGCGCTGTCTGGCAGCTCTGTGCAAATCTCAAAAATAATGGACAGAAATAAAAATTAGGGATGCACCGATTTATATCGGCCGAAAATGGCACTTTTAGCATAAAGCCGAAAGTGCCATTTTCTGGTCGATACCGAGGTGCATCCATTCTTTCTCTCCTCCCCGCTGGGTGCTGCTCCGTGTCCCAGCGGGGAGGAGAGAAACTCTCACAGGCGGCTGAGCGCTGTGAGCGGCCGGCGTCTCCTCCCACACCGCTCAGCCTCCTGTCACAGATCAGAGGAGAGCAGTGTTTAAATAAAATATATATTTTTTTAAATTGAAAAAGTTAAAATAAAAACATTTTTGGTTTCGGCCTGACATTTTTTTACATTTCGGTTTCGTTTTTGCTGCACTGTCTCAACCGATCTCTAAGCTCCGAGATGCGCATGTTTTGCACTCCCCGCACTTGTCCTTTAAAGTGTGTATACCGAGACCTGAGTGATCGTGTAGCCACTGTTCAGTCAGGTCTCTTCTTCCTGTGGAGGTCAGTCACTGCCCCCCCACAGGGATTCTCTCTCCCCTCTCTCTTCCTCCAGCGCATTTTGAAAGCACAGGCGGGAGGGATGGCACGGCTGGCTCCGGTTCTAGAGAGGCAGAGCCAGCTGTCACTTAAAGCAGACCATTCTCCCTTTCACTATAAATTACATTAGCATGCAACTCTGCATTCTGATATGAAATCATCTTGCATTCATTAGTTAATCATCTTTTTCTTTTACTTGAAATTATTATTTTTCCACCTCCTGGTCCTCTGGGGCATTAGTGTTGCACTGATGTAGTGATGTGCCCAAGTGTTGCATCCTGGGAAGGTTACATCAGCAGAGCATTGCTGGGAAATCTCATCTGTAATCTCACTAGATCTCAGGGAATGTCATTTCCCTCCCCTGAGATGATGTGCGTGGTCACATGTCCTAGTCAAATCTGCCAGAGTTCCATGAAGTAAAGGGAGAGCTAGTAACCTGCCCTTAGTTAACATGGCCACTGTAAGAAGAATGGTGAGGAAAAGAAAAATATAATCTAGAAGTCATCTAGAAGTATCTGACTGTAGATTGTCATTACTAAACATTTCTAAAGGTGTTTTTGTTGCCACTTCAAAAATATGGGTGAAGTTCCTCTTTTTTTTTTTTTTTTTTTTTTTAAGCTGGGTATACACACTTTGAATTTCGGCCAGTTCCAGAAGAACCGACCGAAATCTGCTGTGTGGGTGCCGCTGTTGACACCTTTCCAACCGGCATCCCTCGATCAGCTGATCGAAGGAGCATGTCGGAAAATTGTCGGCTGAACAGAGCTAGCAGCCAGCGAGGGTATAATACAAAGGAAACGGCAGGAGATTCCTTGATCAATTCTCGTAAGCGTTGATAGAGGAATCTGTTCTATTTTCTTTGTTCGGCTGGTAGATTGAATGAAGAAAATAGAAGTGTGTATACCAGACTTTAGGCAGCCGGGGTGGATCCCAGCTATGGTACTGCACTGACAGCTGATAGTAGGCATTGGCCTGCTCTCTGCTGACTTTGGGTCACTGGAGTACATTAGCAGATGTGACCCAAAAGTGAAGTAAAGCCAGAAAAGGTTTCTCTTTTATGGATCCGAGATCTGTTCTTGTGACTCATTCATACATTACCTTTAATGAGTTATTGCCCATCAGTTTGTCAGTAGTTTTATGGCTGTTTAATTGCCAATTATGAACCTTGTATTTTTGACCAAGGATCAGAGCACATGGATTGTTTTACGAATGACAAAGAAGCAACTCAACAACCTGCTGCTGTCTGTGTACAGGTCAATGTGCTACTTGAGCTGAATGGTCACTGTGTGGTCATTTGGTTAAAGTTCAATGGGGATTCTATTGGGGTCTTTGGAAGCTGAGCCAAACTACACATTTAGCAGAGGTGCAAGTTTCTGGCAAATTTGGCTATAGAGCTTTTTATAGTGTTATGATTAATGTTGTATATTTGCGACCTGCTGTACTTTGCATGACAGTGAACTGTATTTAATATATAAAACTTGGAACAAATATACACTATATTGCCAAAAGTATTGGGACGCCTGCCTTTACATGAACGTTAATGGCATCCCAGTCTTAGTCCGTAGGGTTCAATATTGGGTTGGCCCACCCTTTGCAGCTATAACAGCTTCAACTCTTCTGGGAAGGCGTCCACAAGGGTTAGGAGTGTGTCTATGGGAATGTTTGACCATTCTTCCAGAAGCACATTTATGAGGTCAGGTACTGATGTTGGACGAGAAGGCCTGCCTTTCAGTCTTTGCTCTAATTCATCCCAAAGGTGTTCTATCGGGTTGAGGTCAGGACTCTGTGCAGGCCAGTCAAGTTCCTCCACCCCAAACTCTCCCATCTATGTCTTTATGGACCTTGCTTTGTGCACTGGTGCACAGTCATGTTCGAACAGGAAGGGGCCATCCCCAAACGGTTCCCACAAAGTTGGGAGCATGAAATTGTCCAAAATGGCTTGGTATGCTGATGCCTTAAGAGTTCTCTTCACTGGAACTAAGAACCATAATCCCCCCTCCACCAAACTTTACACTTGGCACAATGCAGTCAGGCATGTACCGTTCTCCTGGTGACCGCCAAACCCAGACACGTCCATCTGGATTGCCAGACAGAGAAGCGTGATTAGTCACTCCAGAGAACACATCTCCACTTCTCTAGAGTCCAGTGGCGGCGTGCTTTACACCACTGCATCCGACGCTTTGCATTGCACTTGGTGATGTAAGGCTTGGATGCAGCTGTTCTGCCATGGAAACCCATTCCATGAAGCTCTTACACACTGTTGTTGTGCCAATCTGAAGGCCACACAACGTTTGGAGGTCTGTAGCTATTGACTCTGCAGACAGTTGGCGACTTCTGCACACTGCGCTTCAGCATGAGCTGACCCTACTCTGTCATTTTTTCTGGCCTACCACTTTGTGGCTGAGTTGCTGCTGTTCCCAGTTGCTTCCGCTTTCTTATAATACCACTAACGGTTGACCATGGAATATTAAGTAGCCAGAAAATTTCACAGAACACCTGAATCCAATGATTTGGAGGGGTGTCCCAATACTTTTGGCAATATAGTGTAGCTAAAAGAACAAAAACAATCTACAGACATAATGAATGATGGCCATGTTACAGCAGATTAGCTACAGACACCGTATTATGCTTTTTGATACAACTGGAGGAAAAGAAAGTCTGCAGGATAGAAAAGCAGACTGCATTTCTAATTCTTCTGCAGTTTAGTACCGAGAGCTAAGCATTTATTTAAACATCCTCTTTACTTTCCTTCAGTTTTGTTAGGTCTATTGACTTAATTTTTTTTAATTAGCCGTTGCTACCTTTTGACGTGGTCTCTTCAGAAAGCAACTGATGTAGAAAATGTATTTGCCTGTTTTGTTTTTCATGTAGTGGTGTGTTCTATATACCTAATACTGATATAACTTTTTTTCTTTTATTATTAGACTTTTGACAACGCATTCAGAGTACTTCTTCTGCTTTTTAATAACTCCGTTATGGATCGTGGATTTTGTTTGCCTCAATCTGAGTGAGCAAGGAGTCTGCCGCCATGGAGAAGAAACGCAGAAAGAAATGAAAGCCGCACACCCAGGCTAAAGGCCTCTGCCATGCAAACTTTATTGAGCCTCTAGAACTAATTTTAGTTGCCCGGCTGGACATTGTTGAGCAAAGACACAACTCTCGGTGCTGCAACTTCGTCATATTACTTTCAAACCGTATTTTATGAACATGAGGTTTGCACGTTTTTGGCTGCAGCTGGTAGTGATCTTACTGTGTCTGAAGAAGCACCAAAGCTCCCAGCCGGGAAACTCCTCCCATGAGCCTGAGTCCTGTAATAAGTGTTCCCATCTTACCGTTAGTGTGGAGTTCTCCTCGATGATTGTGAAACATGGTAAGTTGTTTTTTTTTTTTTTTTCTTCTTTTAAAGTGTTGTTATAGATCACATGAAAACCTCACGAGTGAATCTTGCAAGCTGTCCCATTTGTTACATGTATACCAAGGGAAACCTACAGCCTAGTGAAGGCAGATGCCACAAAACATAAGTGATTTTTATTTTTACAGTTCAGGTCCAAATAAATACAAGGATCATTTTATAGTAGGAGTCCATTCATTTTAATAACAGTCCTCCTATAAGAATATATGTGCACTTAACAGAGTTTAGGTATGTTATCTACCTGTAAAAGTCTCCTTGTGTAGACATCCGAAGGCCCTGAGACTGCTGCTGTGGCCGCCATCTCGGATGTAATGTCAGCAGAGCCAGAGCTGTCACTTAAGTGACACACTGTAGTGTTCCCCTACAGAGGAGAGGGCTGTGAAGTACAAGGAGGGAGGGAACAATGCTAAGGAATTTACTTTTTGAAGTAGCCAAATTTGTCAAGTTTAGAGGCCCATTGTAAGTGAATAAAAATAATCTGTTAAAGGAAAAAAATCACTGCAAATACGTATTTAAAATACTTGATTTGATTTTGCTTTTATCTACATGTTTTTAGTTGGTGACAGGGTTTTAACCTATTAATAGCTACATTAACAAAAGTAGGTCATGCATCAATTGGAGTGAAGCTTTGCACTGCTGAGCCTAAAATACGTGAGGATCTTGTGTGCCCTCAATGTGACTGAACAAGTCGTGTTATCTCCCTTGCCTGAGGTCAAGCAGGCAGGGCATAATGGCATCTTCTACTTTCCTTTGGAATTCTGCTTGTATAAAATCCTCATGTGCATGTATAGGGTTGTTTTTTGTTTTTTTTTCTTCAAACTCCAGTGTGTAAGTGACTCACTTTTTGTAGAATTCTTCAGTAAACTTTAGGTTTTGCAAACTGTCCATGTTTGTGTAACTCCTTATGTCTTACACAATTTTAAATGTGAAAACTGCTGGTAGGTTGTTGTATACTTTTAGAAAGTGAACCTTTCCCTGGGCTAGTTTGTTGCCCTTAAATTGTTAATGGAGAACCTTCAACTATTTTCTCCCCAAAGGGTTGGCCTATCCTTAGTCAGACATCATCCAAGATGCTGACCCTGGGATGATGCCGTCATGTAAATCTAGATTCCTGAACAGTCATTTTTATGTTCTTAAGCTGGCCATACACTATGTGAATTTTGGGCAGTTCTTGAGGAACCGGCCGAAATTCGCACGGTGGGTTCTGCTGTCAGCATCCTTTTCGGCCGACATCCCTTGATCGAAGGAGGCGCTCGTAAAATCTTTGTACTTACAGAGCCAGCAGCCAATGAACTGCCGACTCTGTTCGGGTATTCTGACAGCAAAGTTTCCTGCTTAGGGCTGCAACTAATGATTATTTTTATACTCGATTAGTTGGCTGATTATGTCAGACTAAAACCAAAAATTATTTCCACTCACCTCATAGTTCTAGCCGACCTGTGACAATGAGACTGTCACAGGTCGGCTCAGTAAATCGGGAGGTGAGCGAACACATACCAGGTTTGCTCACCTCTCGATCCTGTCACGGCTCTCTGCCGCTCTGATCTGCCAGCGCTGACTGGCGGAACGGACGGGGCGGGTACAGCTGGCTCTACCTCTAGATAGGCAGAGCCAGCTGTCACTCACGCAGCTGGGCGGATCCCGTCATCTACGTCGGGATCCGCTGCGGCGTCTCAGTATACCGCGGGCTACTTGTTTGGTTGCAGGCTAGCTGGCAGGTTGAGGCTGGGGAATTTTTGTGTTTTTGTATTGTTGTAAGCCTTCCCAATGTGCGCCCTGCTATAAAGGCCGGTTATAGATTCATGCATGTACCATTTTTTCTAGTTTCAGTATACCGTGAGCTGTAGCTCGTGGTATACTGAGCTTAGGGTGACGGGAGGACGCTAGTTTGTGTCCTCCCATTACCCTAAGGAGAACTATGGGGAAAAACACTGACCCCATAGTTCTCCTCCTTTTAATGACATTTGGCTGGATGCATGCTTGTTCTGAGTCAGTAACTTGATAAGTAGGGAAGTCAAAATGAGGATGACAGCCTGGAAGTATACACCTTAAAATTCTTCTTGGCAAACAACTGGTATATTTTTATACTGACAGAAATACTGCATCTTGTATATAGACTAATGTACTACACATGCTGTCAGGTAGTTTTACTGTGTGTGGCCTGCTCTGGGTGGCACACCCTACAACACTTTGGGTTTTTATTTTCTATCTGGTAACACCAGCACATGTTAAGCAAAGCAAGAAAGGGGCTAAAAAAAGCATACGCATACATTGTGAGGTCCCTTGGATAGACCTAGGTTTGTAAATTATAATATATAGCCAAAAAGTACTGTCTTAATTTTCACAACCTCCCCCTCTTTTTTTCTTTTTCTTTTCTAGAATACATTGTAGCTTTCAATGGTTATTTCACGGCGAATGCACGAAGCAAGTTTATCAGCAGTGCGTTGAGGAGCAGTGGTATTGAGGACTGGAGGATTGTACCACGGAACAACCCAGCCAGCGATTACCCAAGCGACTTTGAATTGATTGAGATCCGCACCGGGCACAGAGATGGAGTGCTGACATTAGAAGACCATCCCAACATCAAGCGTGTAACGCCTCAGAAACGTGTCTTCCGCTCACTCAAGTTTGCTGACAGTAAGTATTTATGAAGCCGTGCTTTGGCCTGTGTGATGGCTGCACTAGGATATCTGACATATTTTCTAAAGTACAATATAATAAACCCACGTTGTGCTCTGATGCTCTGTACATTACGTTCTTGTAACATTTCAGGGGTATGCATATTCAACAGGGCATTCTGGGCCCATCTACAAATTTGAGTACATGTAGTTTGTATCCTGGTCTGACTGCGCAAGCTGCAGACCTCCACTCCCCTTAGTAATTTGTCTATTTTAAGTCTCAATAATTGACTGTTACGGTTGCATGTTCCCTTCAGACATCCATAAACCCCTAAGCAAGAGCAGATCTTTCTTAGCTGTACCTTAGCAATCTTTATCAATAGACACACATCTGCTTTAAAGACAATAGGAACAATTTAGCGTTGCCCCTGGTGTCCAACTGTTCTGCAGTCCAGGTTTGAAAATGAAATAAGGATTCTGACTGCTTACTGTATGTACTAAGGTATATTACTTTTGGTGCAGTTTTCATACATCAGCCCCTGTGTGAGAAAGGAAAGTCACATTAAGGGCTGTCGTACACTGGCGTTTTATTAAACATGTGCTTGTCATCCATTTGCCATGTGTCCACCATGCATTCACTATGGGAGGAATAAAAGCAAAGCTCAAATTGATTAAAAGTATAGCTGTTTGTATGTGAGCTGAGCTTACAGCCATATAGCTTTACATCTGCAATTCGACGTACACTGTACGTCGTCAGTCACGAAGGGGTTAAGGCATTGCTGACCCTGACTACAGCTAGTCTCAGGAGATAGGAAGTGGGATTTGGTGATGTCACTATTGTACTGCTTACTGTTTTTGGAGGCTCTGACATGAAAGAGCAAAAGCCTTTCCTCTAACAAAATGGCTGCCTCTACACTGGATCCCAGTGCAGAAAAAGGCATGGTAGGTCAGTAATGGGTAAAAGATCAGCTGCAGGGGGACCGCAGACCATTCTGGTCATTAGTCTTTTGCCCTTTATCTGCCTATTGTGGGCACAGTTTCCAGAGTTCAGTTCCTCTTCAACTAAAATCAGCTTGTGTATTTTGTCTTTTGAGATAAGATTGCATGCTGAAAGTGATTTTAATTGACTTTACCTCTAAACCCCATGAACACCAACCCTTAGTGACGTACAGTATTTGTCAGGTAGCTAGAAACAAAAGTTACAAGCCCAAACCTTGTCTGTGGTTTCTAATGTGGGATCCTTTCAGCATCCCAACTTTGTTTGTACAGTAAGTCCCCTGCGCATTCGTAAGTCCATCAAAGTTATGTATGCAGCTCTTTAGGCAATCCAGTCTAAAATGTAAAAAACATAAATTTAAAAATGTAAAAAAATTTGTACCCCAAGCCAAATCGACCCATCCTGTGCTTCAAAATCGATGCCAAACCCTCATCCTGGACAGGATTCTGACATGGATTTTAAGGGTGAACCCCCTTTCACATCAAAAGCCCCCCTTCACATCACAGTCCCCCCTAAACCCCAGCAAAAATGTGAAGGCACCCCTGACAAAGCCGGAAGGCAGAACGTGCATGTAAGAGTGTATCACTTTAGTTGGGAAATAGAGGAATCAATAGCTGGATGGAAAATCTTGTTTCAGTGGTTTAATCATTTTCCCGTTTCTTTTTCTTCCTGACTTTTGGCTTGCTCTCATTGTATGTTAGTCTTTCCGCCAAGCTGTGTAAGATCCTCGGTCTATCTAAAATTGGCTTTATAAGGGATAAAGGTTGTTTGTTTTATTACCACCTATAAAATACTAGATTGTAGGGGTTGAGTATCTCTGCATGAAGTGCAAAGTATGTATTTACATGTAATGCATTTCTGAAGGGAAAACCCATCTGTTCGTTCTCATTGTCCAGCTGGCAGCAGAGGACATTTCACATTGGGTGTTGGGGGGGGCAGCAGAGGAGGTTCCACGTTGGGGGGCAGCAGAGGAGGTGCCACATTTGGAGCGCTCTACCAATTGACACTATTCCTGTCTGCCCATCACCTCAGTGTTGGTGATCTACATCATCCTCCCCCGAGTGCAAATGAAAGACAATTATACAGGGCTGCGTGCAGGTCTCTCCAAGGCTCTGCAGGTGGGTTCCAGGCTCCCGGGCTGTACAGGCAGGTGCGGGGCTGTCCTATGCTGTGCCGGCGCTGGAAAGTAGGAAGCGGCAATGTATGGCCGGACCAACACTGTCAAAGACCACTGCCTGAGTTCTCCAGCAAGCAGGGGACCTCAGACAGCCGAATGTGTTTAAAAATGTAAAGGACCGTTATCAACCTTTAGAATCGGGGCATTTTCATGAGTACAAGTTCTCGTGAAAATGTCCTGTATCTGCACCGATACTAGTATCGGGACATCCCTAATTACTGTCATTTTCTTTTGCTGCATGCTGATTCTGTGATTCAGCCCCATTCTCTTCTTATGACATGGGTGCTTTTGAAGCAAATCTAAAGCCAAAACTTTTTTTGGATACAGTAGTGATTATTTAAAAACCCTGTCATGTTTCTATTTTCGTGTCATTTTGGGGACATTTCCCTTTTACTTACTACTTATACTGGAAACATAGCAGAACGTTAAAGTATTTGTGCACTACTGAAAAGGTACATTCTAATACAGCAAATATAATTTGCAAACTTTAATTTAATTCTTTAAAAAAATATGTATAGTTTACTTTTTGTTTGGATGCTTTATTAGACATTCACATGACCGCAAAGCCTCCCATGTCTGCATAGTAAGGGGGCAGGCACGTGTATACAGGTCACACAGTGGGGAAGTCATAAGGGCATCTTCCCAGTAGGTGGCAACCAGCCTCTGTAGTGCAATAATAGGACCCAGCCCCCCGTCATCGATTGGGACTCACGGGTATGAACTGGAGTCTGGTATGTGGACCCTTTCCACTACACTGGCAGGCACCCTCAGAGAAAAGGGTCCAAGCAGTGTAGGCTGACGACTCCCAGAGCTGGAGTACAAGCAGGGGAACTGAATGAGGCAGTGGATGTCAGCTAAAGCTGGAAGTTGAAATACAAGGCAGGGTGCTGCAATGCGGCAGGGGTTCCCCAGGATTTAAAATCTAAGAGCCAGCCGGTATTCGCCAGAGCTCCTGATGGTGGAGATGGGCTTGGCTGCGTGCTGACCCCAGGTCACAATCCCTAGGTCCACCCAACTCACCTAACAGGTACAGGGTACAAATCAAAGGTTAGGGACAGGCTGAAGACTTCCAGGGACCAAGCGAAGTACAGCATAGACCGTAGACAGGGATTTCCAAGGACAAAAGGGAAGCACAGGGCAGCCAGTAGACAGGGATTTCCAAGGACAAGCCAAAGGTTCGGTACACGGGAAAACTTCCAGGAATTCAGGGTAACTCACAAATGGGGGACACAGCAACTAGCTTAGGAAAGCCTTGCTCGGGCAGCACTGATTGATTGGCCGAGAAGCTGCATAAGAAACAGCAGGAGAGGTCGGCCAACGCCTGAAGCTTGCAGAAAGGTGCAAGTGTGAGTCAGGTTCAGAGCACATGCCTGGAGGGCTACAACCCCCAGCACAGCCCTGTATGTCTGCAGAACCAGGGGTAAGAGGTATGTATATACTTGTAGAACCCCACTGGCTCTCAAAATACCCGAACAATGCCTGCATCCAATCAGATTCTTCAGGTATTTGGAGAGCCAGTGGGGCCGATTAGCAAGATACTGAAGTTTGGCCCAGTGGGAGTTTCCTCCATCCACACAGTTTAGTGTAGATGGAAGAATCTGCTGCACTTTTTCCATCTGACCATAGAAAATCTGCAGATAATCTATAGGTGTATGGGCAGTTTAATACTCAGCAGTCTGTGTAAATTGAACAATTTAAGCTTTTTGAGGATTGCCTAACAGAGCAGGTTAGAGTAGACTGGTAATCAAGTGACAAATCCTACCTACTGGTAGTGAATATAAGTATAAAATATTCTTATGACATGTTTTCATATTTTTTTTGTATTCATTTTTTTTATTAAATATTTTTATTTTTTACTTTTAGGGGCTTCAGGGAAATATTGGGGGTCTAAACAGACCCCTGATATTTCCACTTTTAAAATAGAAAAAGAGATTGAGGACACAGAGTCCTCAATCTCTTTTTCTGCAGCCCCTGTTATACATGAACAGGAATCCTCTATACTGAGTGTTCCTGTTCATTCATAGCTTGGAGCTGGTATGTTTACTATAACCACAATCATGAATGAGCAAGAGGTGATGTAGATCCCTTCCCATTCATTCATAATTGAGGATATAGTAACCATACTATGTCCCCAATTATCTTCAAACACTCAGCGATCACTGATTAGTTTAGTAAATGTTGAAGTTAATGAACATATGTTCCTCTAAGGCCTCGTTCACACCAGATGCAGTGCATTCCAGCCCGATTCCGGCCAGGACGCAATGCCTTGCATTGCAGCCGGTGTTCTATCACAGATTGTGACTGGGTTGAAATATGTGACCAGTCACGTGGTCACACATTTTAACGTGATCCTGCCCAGTTTTTTGGCAGTGGAATATGTGACCGGCAAAAGGTGAAGAATTCTAATGCTTTCTCAGCTGTCTCAGGGCAGATCGGCATCACGGATTGGTCCTGAAATGTGACTGCTATCGCACATTCCACAAAGTCAGATAGAAGTGACATTCCAGGACGATCAGCTGTTGCAGGGCAGATCGGTTCTCCTGCACATACCATCTGCGATGCCGATCTGCCCCGGAACAGCTGAGAACCGTGGAATTCTTCACCTTTTGCCAGTCACATATTCCACCACAAAAACTGGGCGGGATCATGTTAAAATGTGTGACCACGTGACCGCTCACACATTCCAACCCAGTCACAATCTTTGTGTGTGTGGCTTACTATTTGATTTGTGCGCTCATTTACCAGTACTAAGGCTGCTTGGACGGCGTCATAGCCAAACTAGACTTGACAGGCAAGGTCAAGATTTGAATATTTGTGATTCTGCTGATCTTTTTGACTTGAGGTTTTCACTGAAGATGACCTTTCTTTTAAGTATTTTTAATCATATACTCAAATCAAGACATAATAGCTGTTGAAAATTCGTATGACGACTAAATGAATGTGTATTGTCAATCAGGCTTTAGCTTTATTATAATAATGGTAGAGGTTCCCATTTTGCATAACAAGTCCTTCTGGTAGAAGCTCTTTAAATGTGTATTGTTAATCTATCTTGCCTTCTTATTTCCCCAGTTATGAAAGCATGAATATGATTGTTCAGTATAATAAGTGTTTGCACAGTATTTTGGTTATTTTTATACTAGTTTGTTTACATCAAATAAAAATGGTTAAATAATGTAAAATGACTTCTGTTTCTGTATGTACTATGACTAGTACTCTGTGAAATGTTTGTGTTTCAGGCTTTGTTTGGATGTTTTTGCAGATTTAAGATTTTTAACCACAGCATCAATTTCTTTCTTGTTAGGTGAACCTGCCGCCCCGTGCAATGAGACAAAATGGAGTCAGAAATGGCAGTCTTCACGTCCACTCAGAAGGACCAGCCTGTCTCTCAGCTCAGGATTCTGGCACGCAACAGGGAGGCACTCTAGCAGACGACTTCTGAGAGCGATCCCACGTCAAGTAGCCCAAACACTGCAGGCTGATGTGCTGTGGCAACTGGGATATACAGGTATGTGATTTCATTTGTACTAGCAAATAAAGACATTTTCTGCAGTACTCACTCATGTGTTGTGTTACTTTATCGCCCAACTCCAGTTGTGTTTTTTTTTTTTTTTTTTTTTTTGGTTTTTGTTTTCATAACTGGGGATTAAAAAATCGCTCATGGTGTACATTAAATTCTGACAGCTGTCAACTGCTATCAGAATACCTGAACAATACTTGTAGCTGAGTGGCTGCAAGCAACATTTGGCTGACAATTTTCCAGCATGGCCCTTTGGCAAAAGTTAATCTAATGATCCACTTCTGCCCAGGGGATAGGGCCACCCACGGATTGAATTTCCTGTTGTTACCCAGCTTTATTCTCCCTGGTGACAAATTCACATCTACCCAGGCTGTGTGGGACAGGAAGCTGGTGTAAATCACCCCAAAAGTAACTTTAAATTAAATATTAGACAGGTTCTAATCATTCACCATTTTATCCAGTGCTTTGTTAACATAACATTTTTTTACTTCAGTTCAGAGTTCAGCATTGCATTTTAGACAACTTATTTTGGTATTCGGCACATGTGAGTGCTGGAACTAAGCTGTCAAATCCTCAACCAGCCATTGTAATGTGACGTTTGTTTTTAATATAGTAATATGGGTTACTTCAAATGCATCCTTCTTCTTTTTAGTTTTTTTTTGTTTTACTGCCTTCACAAATAAACAAATGTTTCTGCAAAGGGAAATCTTTTGGGCAAACAATGACAAGATTGATTGTTGAGGAGATCATGAGGAACCCTTTAATATAGACAGAACGTCGTAGACCACAGACATAAATGTACCATTAATGTGTTGTTTTTTTGTTATAAATTAAGCATTTAACATACATGTTCATCCTTTGCAGAAGAATATTGCCAAATGGCATTTTGTGTAACTTCTATTTAATATTTCACAAATGTTGTCTTAGTGGTATTTATATCTTTTACATTTTTCTTCTTAATCAGGAAGTAACGTTAAAGTTGCCGTTTTTGACACTGGATTAAGTGAAAAACACCCACACTTCAAAAATGTAAAAGAACGAACTAACTGGACCAATGAGAAGACTTTGGACGATGGTGGGTATGAAGCCAGTTCAGCAGACACAAAGGGTTTTTGTACATCTGCTGTTTTGTAAGATCATGATATGAAAATAATTTGATTGTATTCTAGACTAGAATAAGTTCACGATAAACAATATTTTCAAGTTTCTCATTTATTTCTGGAGCTTTATTGTTTAATGTATATGTAAAACCAAAATCCGTTTTGATATTTGGCCTCATGGAATAGAGTTTATTTATTTTTTCCCTGGAGCACTTACTTTTGCAGGCTGACATCGCTAAGCCGCTGCCTTACAGTTGCCAGCCGTGTTTTCACCCTTACCTGCATGCTCCTTCAGTTGGCCATTGAGCTTTAAAATAAACCCTCACTTACTGACCTTTAGCTAGAGGCTAAACGGTGAACACCTTCTCTCTGTTTACATTTATAAGTGCTCATGCACACAGGCGTATGCCGACGTCTTTTCAGACAGCGTATAATACGCCTGTATTTGTGCAGCTCGGGAGCCGCAGCTGCATGTATACTGTATATGAACAGAAAACCCTGTACTCGAGTTTGCACCCTCAAACAGCAGCACTGGAGTTTGCACGGGGTAAGTTTCCAGACACAAAACTTCCAGGGACTTCTGAGAGACATAAATCATTCATTTTCCAGCCTCTCCACAAAACCAAATATCGGTCTTGGCTCAACTAACATGCAACAAAATGATCAAAGGATCATGCAACCCTCTACCATTCCATGCCATATAGGTATAAATATAAACAGTATAACCCTAGGTAGTATATCGCTTTGATCTGTTCAATCCTTTTTGCGATTTGAAAACTGTCTGTCTGAAATTGCTGTCAAAAAAAAGTTATATATTTGACCAGCGTATGCATTGTTTTATGGTGATGGAGGAGTCTGGTTAATGGTAAGGGTTAGATCAAATGTTAAAGTTTTGGTTGGGGGTAGATTAAGTGTTTGGATTACTTTTAGAGGTTAGGAATGTTTAGAGCCTGTTCACACCGGTGCGGTTCGGCCAACCTAAACGATCCCATACATTGCTATGGGGACCATTCATGCGTTCGCACGACCCCGTCCCAAACTGCTCCGTGCACTATTTTTGCTGTGCTGATCAGTGCGGTTTCCCTACAGCTTTCAATGGAACTGTGCGGTTTTGGGCGTTTTTTATTGCGTTTCAGTGCTGAAAACAATTAACGCCCAAAACCTCCATTTTGAAATCAGCTCAGTAATCGTGCTGATCCACAACTGCCCTGGTGTGCATGGGCTCTCTGGGGACTTAAGGATTTATTTATTTTTCTCAGTGCTGTTGTACTTCCTGCATAAGACTCATTTATGTGCTCGCATGCAAGGCCTTATTTACACCGAGAGAGATACACAACTGTTACTCTGCTATAAACGTTGGCTTTTTTCTCTTTTCTACAGGGCTTGGACATGGGACGTTTGTGGCAGGGGTCATTGCTAGCATGAGAGAATGCCAAGGATTTGCTCCAGACTCTGAGCTCCATATATATCGGGTCTTTACCAATAACCAGGTACTCAGATCATTTAAAGAAGAAATCCAGTACATTTGTTATTAACCCTTGTAGTGGGGCTACCCTCGCACTGCACGTGTTAAGTGCTTATTTGTGTCTATGTTCAAATAAATAAAAAAAGTTTGCCTCACCCGAAGCTCTGAGATGGCTTTTGCTTAGACCGGTTTTTCCAACGTCTCTCCCCCTCTGTAGCAGTCTAAGGTTTCATAAATTAATGTCTATACACCGTATATATGCCGACTCTGTTCGTGCATATATTTTCTGACCGAGTTCTTCGATCTGCTTATCGAGCGATGCCGTCCAAAAGGGTGCCGACAGCAGCATCCACTGTGCAAATTTCGATCGGTTCCTCAAGAAGCGGCTGAAATTCGCACAGTATATGGCCACCTTTTATTTTGGGCCTCTTCTGCTTCTAGCGGCTGTCTTTGTTAGACAGTGTCATTAAATGATTGCTGAATATTTGCTGTGAAGAATCAGTTGTGAGATAAACATAGGAGAGAGCATGGTGGTTCATAGTGTGGTGTGGCTCCACGACAAAGCTTTGTGCATAGACTTGTATTTGTGTAAGAGGAGATATAAAGCACAAACTGCTACTACACAGCATAACCTGTATAATGGGCAGTGAGTGTATGTACTTGGATCATTTTAAAAACAATTAGACGTTTTTTAAAATGCCATTGCAAATAAACTTGATGGTAATGTTTTACATTAAGCTGATCACATTCACATTCAATACATTTATTGTCATGGCTAAAGCCGGATTCAAATGAACTTCCTTCATGGCACTTCAGGTGCCTATTCCAGGTGTCAGTTTCATTAGTGACAAGCTGGAGTTTCTTTTTAAAGACTAACTTTTACCTATTGTACCATCTTTCATGTTGCACTGTAAATATGGATGTAACATGGTTACTTCCTGACATCCCTCAACACAGCTGTGTCATCGATTTCCATCCATCCTTTTGACAGGATCTATGAATGGAGACACTACAAGTCCACAGTGGCAGATGGACCTAAAGTTCTCAATGGAATGCAAGTGTGGTGATGTGTCAAACACCACAGTAGTTTTCCTTTAAGCAGGCAGTCATGCAGTCCTAGGTATATACAAAGCTTCCTGTGAGTTGATGTGTTTGTGTTCATATATATACTGGAAATAAATATTGCATTGAGCTTGTGCACTGAATACAGTTAGATAGCAGCAAAACCTTATATTGGCTAAGAGCCAGTGTCGTCACACTGTTCTCTTCAGCTCTATTGTTCTCATTATGTGTACTTTACACTGTCTGTATTATTTTCAGCAGGCAGGTCATCTGTTACTAAGCCAACACTTGGCTGGATGTTTAAAATAGTGGTAAACGGATCTGTCAAAAGGATCTGGGTGTATGCAATATAATCTGGTTTTGCATTTTCTCTTCATAATTTTGTAACCTCGTACAGGCAGTGTGTGGTAACATGTAAAAGTATACAGTTGGTATAACGGAAATAAACAAAATACTACTTGCAGAGAAAAAGTAAGAAGGAAAGGAAGAGTATGGTGGGGTGCTATGTAGTCCCAGGGCTGTGGAGCCCCACACTCACTGTGAGGTCTATTTATAAACAGTTTGCAGGCCCCTCACTCTGAGAATATCATTGAATGTTCATTTTGGGTAAATAATGGCAAAAACAAACATTCCTAATATATTTTCTTTTAAGGTCGAATGTAATTGTGATGTAATACTGCATTATGGCCACTAGATAGAACCGAGGAGCATAATGCAGCATAGGAAACAATGATAATAAAATAGAAAAACTCCAGATTCCCGCTACTAGGATGGATGCTCTGGATGATTGCATGAGCATCAGACTGCTATAATGAGTGCCTGTGCAAAGCCAACTTCATCTTATCTTAATGTAACACTAATATTTACGGAAAGGGATTCATTTTTCACAGGTAAAGTTTTTTTTATTGAATTTCACAAAGATGTCAGGTTTACAAGCATTGGTCGTGTACAAATGAACAATTCGAGAACAGAGATGAAAACATTGCACACGTACAGTGGAATGAGTCAACATCATAGGGAGGGGGTAAAATAAACGTACAAACAAAGGGGATTTGCCCATATTTGGTCAGTCAGATCTTGTAAACGGAAACAGTGGGCACTAGCTGGTGTGGTGAGCCATTCCTGATGTTACTATAAAGTTGCGAACTTACAGGGTAGTGTGGGAAACATCCTGGGTAGTTTTGGGGGATTCGAGAGGGTGGAATAGGGTATGTCAGGTTTAAGGTTAAAGTTAAAGCTCGCCCCTGAGGAATATACAGTATTGTCAGAGTTCATATCATGGGCATAGTAAGGGATAAAGTAGAGGTGGGTAACGAAAATACGAGGGTATTTCGGAGTGGCGCGGAGAGAGGAGGTGACAGGAAAAGGGATTAGGGAAATAGGAAGAAAGGTGGATGGGAGAGACAGGATGGGGTCTAGGGATGTAGGGGGGGAATAAGGGGGTCGTGCTCCGTCCGCTTCCCCCGGTGCCACTGCGCCCACCCCCTCCCCCCACATCACCATGTAAACAGCCGAGGCAGGAGGAGCGCCACCCCTAAGGGAAGGACTGGGTTGCTGATATAGCTCCATGGCGGTTTAGGTAAAGCCACAAGTAGTAAGGGCCTTGTATGCATCTGTATCCTTGAACAGATTCCAGGCTGTCCAGGTTTTCAAGAATCTGTGCATGTTTCCTTTATTGCTAGCGATCAGTTCTTCCATGTGTGCTACTGTGTCGACCCGAGCAAGCCATTCTTTTATGGTCGGGGGGTTTGGTGATTTCCAGTGTCTAGGAATCACTGTTTTAGCTGCATTCAATAAGTGTAGAGCCAGAGATTTCTGGGACACATGATCAGATTCGTCGAAGTGGAAGAGTAAAAGTGAGGGCGCGTCAAAAACCGGGGAAGTGGTTGTAATGTTTGTGGTGAGTCTGTGAACTTCAGTCCAAAATGGGCCTATGAGGGGGCATGACCACCAAATGTGAAGAAGCGTACCCACTTCTCGAGAGCAGCGCCAGCACGTGTCGGGCTGGTCCGGAAAGATGCGGTGGAGCACCACTGGCGTTTTGTACCATCTAGAGCGGAGTTTGTAATTGGTCTCTTGGATTTGGACATTGGAAGAGGGATTCATTTTTCATGTGTACATCAAAATGTGTAACTTCCAAAGGAGCAAAAAGCACTCCTGCATTCCCACTTGTCACAGCTTGGGGTCACAGCTGTGAACTCAAAAAGCTGCATTCTAGAAGTGTATTGGTTTGTTCAAATAAGTAGAACACTTTTTTTTTTTAAGTATTTTGTTTTTTATTGTAATAAATGATAATGGCAAATAAAAAAAAAATGTGTGCACTGTTTATTCACCTCTGCCAGGTTTTTTTTTTGTTGGTCCTTCTACATATTTGGGTGAGTTCCCCTCACTTCTGCATTGGGGACTCTAAAGTGAGGTGACATCACAGCTTTAAAAGTTTTCACTAGGACAGTGTCCCCATTTGGAGATTTTTTTTTTTTTTGTTCAGTGAAAACGAAAAGATTGTATTTAACCTCCTTTTCCTGTCATACGTTGGCGCATCCTCATCGTTGTTTTGCACAATGACAAGCACATTAGGTTTGCCAGATGTAATTATTTTAGGCATTTTTAGCTACTTTCCTCCTGAGTTTTGTCCACCCCTGCACCCAACTGTACATTAGTCTTCATTTCTTACACATCATTTCCTGTGAACATTCTACAGTTTGCATTTTGTCTCTTTTCAGGTCTCCTATACTTCATGGTTCTTGGATGCTTTTAATTATGCCATCCTGAAGAAAATTGATGTTCTAAATCTCAGTATCGGGGGGCCAGACTTCATGGATCATCCTTTTGTTGATAAGGTCTGTGTCGTGTTTTTTATTTTTTATTTTATTTAAGTAGATCCTTACCTGTGCTGGTCTTCCACTTGGTAACGGTGACCTTTATCTACCAGCAAACACTTCTAGGTGCCTGCAGGGAGATTCAGCATTTTCTGAGAACCCTGATGGCGCCAGAGCATTCTATTATCCCATGCCTTTCTCTTAGCCCTTTACTATATTTGGCTCATTGCAAATATTCCTGATTTAAACAGCATAGCTATATTAGGTCTGGAAGACCTATGTTTACAGCCTGCTGAACATTCTGCTGTCAGTTTTCACTAGAGGGTACCATTGGGAGACAGTAAGGCCTGCTCTGCATTGGGATGATTGGCCAACGTGACACCTTGAAGCAGCTTGTTTCCACAAAGTGGGATCTTTACACAGTGGTAGGAGTTTGCAGACAATACTGCTTGAAATAGGACTTGCCTTCAATAAAGGTTAGGTTACCCATCATATTCCTAATCATTCCACATCATTGGCAGCTTGAGCAGCTCTTCAAGTGAATACCTTTTTTTTGTAGATGTACAACAGGGAACCATGTGTTTCTTCTAAGACCAACCGAAAATAAACCTTTGGAATAGTTGGGTGTAGACTGGGCTGTTGAGTAGAATGCAAAGACCTGCAAGGAAGAAATACTCTGAAAGTCTTGTAATAGTTCTCTTCCAATGTGGTTAGAACATTGGTTGAAGAACATATGAGGAGAGCTTCAGTAGCTTCCTTCACAGTCTAGCTAGTGTTGGTGTTGTGAATGTATGTAGATCCCATCAGAACTCTATCCTTTTACTGTTCCCCAGGCATTGCGGAAGAGCATAGAGTGCAATCGTCAATTGCAAGGCTACATCATCTCTTGCTTGCCAGTGTAATATAGATAACCTTCTTCTTTTTTTTCAGGTTTGGGAGCTCACAGCCAACAATGTGATCATGGTTTCTGCCATAGGAAATGATGGACCACTTTATGGGCATGTATCTAATATCCATAAATTCTTACATTTGTGTTCGCTTCATAACAAAATAGATTCACTTTAATCTCAAATAATGTAACTGAGTTTAAATCTAATAAGGCAGAAAAGCAATAAAACAAACACAAATAAGTACTTCCCGTGTACAGATATTGCTCCCTTGTGTACCACCTTCGTCTTCATTTCAGTTTCTGTTCTAATAATGTCCTTAAACCTCTATTCTTTTTTGTTTTTTTGTTACTAGTGTCGGGACTAAAGAAATGAAATGTAAAAACTGAACTCCAGATTCTTTTTTTTCAGATACCCTTGCAGCGAAGCTACCCACATTGCAAGGGTTAAATGCTTGTCAGTTCTAGGGGTAGAGGAATAATCTGTAATACTTCATATATTCCTTGCTTCTACCACACTATGTGACCAGTTTCATGAAACCTCTTCTCTAAGGTGCTCTGGCTGGTGACCGCACTCTTGTCATCCTGTTCAATGCAGGACAATTCAGTCCTGATTTGTACGTGAGGGCGGCAAGGGCTTACATAATGGCAGTGAGTGTGCCTCCCTTTTTAAAAAAAAATATTTTTAGAAGTCGAAAGTGTCCCCTTTGCTGCTTAAGTTCTGGTTAGCATGTGCAAATTCCGGCTAATCGGGCAACACTGACATTATTACAGGCTTTTTTATGACCTTGTATAGCCCTCCATGAATAGCTAAAGAAAGCAAAAATCCTTTTATATCTTTCATTTATACAGAGATGAACAGGTAGAGCTTGGTATTGAACAGTGCCCTCCTGAACAATGAGCATTATGGGTTATTCAAAACTTGAAGGAGAAATCCCCTGAGCAATTTAGTGGCAGTGTGGGCTGCTATTACCGTTGTCACTCTACTATGATTTGGAGAATACTCTATTCTTCTACCCAAAACGATGAATCTATTAACTTGTGTTTCTTTTTTTTGTGATGATCAGAACACTTAACAACCCTGCGGACCAGATGGATGTCATTGGTGTTGGGGGCATTGACTTTGAGGATAACATAGCTCGATTTTCTTCACGAGGGATGACCACATGGGTAAACTTTTCTACTACTACACCCACACTTTGCAAATATGAACGTTAAACTCCGCTGTGCAAACATTGTGCACACATTACACAGAGGAACATACAGGTGAAACTCGAATAATTAGAATATCGTGCAAAAGTAATTGCAGTATGTGCTGCAAAAGGGGCCCAAACCAAGTACTGAGTACATATGCATGCTTGTACTTTTCAGAGGTCCGATATTGTTCTATGTACAATCCTTGTTTTATTGATTGCATGTAATAATCTACTTTTTTGAGGTTGTGGATTTGGGGTTCTTGGGGTTTTCATGAGCTGTAAGCCATACTCATCACAATTATGACAAATCACGGCTTGAATTATCTTGCTTTGCATGTAATGAGTCTATCTCATATATTAGTTTCACCTTTTAAGTTGCATTAGTGAAATAAATGAACTTTGCACGATATTCTAATTATTTGAGTTTCACCTGTATATTGTGTATTTTCAGTGACTGTAGAGCACTGCTAATGGCAGCCATGCCTTAATCTGCTGACATTGGTTTCTTCCTCAGAAGCATCCCCTGGTAATCTTTTTAGACTTAAGCTGGCCATAAACCTATAGATTATTTGCAGACTTTCTATGGTCAGATAGAAAAAGTACAGATTCCTCCATCTATGCTAAACTGTGTGGATGGAGGAATCTCCCACTGGGCCAAGCTTCAGTATCTGGCTAGTTGACCCTGCTAGCTCTCAAAATACCTGAACAATGCCTGCAACCAATCAGATTGTTCAGGTATTTTGAGAGCTAGCAGGGTCAACTAGCCAGATACTGAAGCTTGGCCCAGTGGGAGATTCCTCCATCCACACAGTTTAGCATAGATGGAGGAATCTGTACTTTTTCTATCTGACCATAGAAAATCTGCAGATAATCTATAGGTGTATGGCCAGCTTTAGACTCGCTATACACTTTACAACCTGACCGTGCAATCAACTTTAGAGCTACCAAAACTAATGTACTATAAGGGGCTTACCAAATCTATTTATATCCAGTCGGGCAGATTCTTGCACTTCATATGTGTTGGTAGATCTAAAGGAGATTGTACAGTTAGATTGTGTGTGTGTCATGGTGAATAGTTTGAAATAGAATTGGAGGTCCTCTGTCCATTCCTATCCAGTGTTTGATTGGCAGGCTAATTGCCTTTTAGCAAGCTGTGATTATAACTTCTATTTATTTCATGCAGGAGCTGCCTGGTGGATATGGAAGAATGAAACCTGACATTGTCACCTATGGTTCAGGGGTGCGTGGTTCTGGTATGAAAGGCGGCTGTCGCTCTTTATCTGGTACAAGCGTTGCTTCTCCTGTTGTGGCCGGAGCTGTCACACTGCTTGTTAGGTAAGCTGCTCACCTACTTTTTCCCAGATGTAGACAAATAATTAACCCTTTGATACATTTCCAGAACACAAGCTCTCAAAGTTCTATATTATAAACATTATTTATTGAACACACACACACTCTCACACGTAAAATTTCTGTAACATCAATCCGAAATAGGAGGCACTTGCTTAAAGCCCCCCCCCCCCAAATTTTTTTTATATATTTTCTGAAAGCAAGAACGCCATAGAATAAAGTGGTGGCAGTTGCAATTTTTTATGCCAAAAAAAATGCATTCAAATTCATTTTAGTGCTTACAAACACAACATAAGTCTCCATTCACACACAGCAGTACTGTTTTCGGCGTGGGAAACCGTGCAAACGGTAACACTCGCATGGATTTTATGCGTTTGCGGCTATTACTATAGCCAGAACGCACAGAATCCACCCATAAAATTGCACTTGGGACTATTTAGCGGGACACAGTTTCGTACCGTACAGCTGCAACAATAGTCTGTTTAATACACATTGCCATGAATTGGTTTTTATGTTTAGCGCGTCTCCGAATGTGCAGAAAACCGCTCATGTGCGAATGGAGCCTGACACCCGTTTTTTGGGGGGATAAAATATTAAAGTTGAGTTTGTGCCGAGTAAAAAGATAGCAGACATGTCAAACCTTAAAATTGTGTGCACCCATGAAATTACGTCATGGGCGACACTTTAAAAGCCTGTACAGGTCATCAATTTAGAATTAACCATGAATAAGGTCCCTAGAATTATTGCTCTCACTACGGCATGCGCAGCAATACTCAACATCTAAAGTGCAACATTGTTTTCATACGTAGTGCACCCGATGCATGTGTTATCGTTTGTGCGTGCATCTACGCGGGGGAGGGGTTGTTTTTTATTTAAAACTTTTTTATATATATAGATATAGATATATAGATAGATATAGATAGATATATAGATATAGATAGATACACTTAGCAATAAAGTTATCACATAGGGGGCCGATGGACCATATCACTTTTGTAGCCCATAGAAGCTGGTCTTGAACAGACCATGCTTGTTCAGCTTCTTTCACATCCTCTGTGGCTGAGCAATGACAGCTCGGAACCTGGAAGTGACAGAGTCATGATTGCTTTCATGTTTATTCAGCTAAGGGGAGATCGGAGAACAGATGTTTGCTGGTCTCTCTGCCAACACCCAGCATGCTGGTTCCACCTCCCAGTTGCTATAGTGGTCAGGAATGTAATTACAGCTCCCTGCTGCCATAGATGTGGTACTTGCGTCCATGGCGGCAAAGGGGTTAAACACATGTCAGTTTTTTTTGTTTCTTTTGGGGGGAGTTTTAACTTCACTTCATATTCGTGTTCCAGTGGCAAGTCAATATTTTGGATTTCCCATCACTGTTAGTCTCAGGCACAAACGTTATCAGAACAAATAAATAGGTTGAATTTCCTTAGCAGGGGTACAAACCGCAGTACTAAACCTGACAGAGTTACTAACCCTTCCCTATGCTAGTCAAAGCTTAAAAAAAACAGCTTTTGGCTTAATATCCACTTACATTCTGCAGTGTGAATGAGAATAACTGGCTGGCAGTTTGCTTTGTTTAATAATTGAGTTCATGGGTTACATTTTGCATTTAGTTATAAATTTCTTTCAGTGTTCCTTGAATTAGTTAAGCTGCACTCCCTACTACAGCTGGCTTTTTACTAACATGGTTTTCCTCCAGTACGGTTCAAAAGCGGGAGATGGTGAACCCAGCCAGTATGAAGCAGGCCCTCATTGCTTCCGCTCGTAGGCTTCCTGGAGTCAATATGTTTGAGCAGGGACACGGCAAGCTGGATCTTCTCCGAGCCTACCAAATCCTCAACAGTTACAAGCCTCAGGCCAGGTAATTTATCATCTTTATTTTTAACACTATTAAGAAAAAAAATCCTTTCCTAAACTAGCCATTTCACACATCCTGTAATTGGATTTGCTACTGTAAACTGCTTTAAAAGAATTTTTAATTATTTTCAAATCTGTGTGGCATAGACTGATATCCATGGACCTTTGATAGCATGACGGCTTGAGGAAATGAGGGGGCCGGCTTCCTGATTGGCCATGGGGCCGGCTTCCTGATTGGCCATGGGGCCGGCTTCCTGATTGGCCATGGGGCCGGCTTCCTGATTGGCCATGGGGCCGGCTTCCTGATTGGCCATGGGGCCGGCTCCATGCTCCCTGGTGACAAGGGAGCATGGAGCCGGCTTCCCAGCCAATCAGGAAGCCAGTCACCGTGTAATGACTCGCCACCTGGCTTCCTGATACCGGAAATTCCGATATCGGGATAAGCATCGGGAGCATTTGGGGAAGTACGAGTACTCTCCCAAATACTCAGTTTTGGCACCAATACTACTATCAGTGCATCCCTACTACATATCAACTTGTTCTACTGTGCAGATCCCCAAAAAGTGTCTGCTCCATTTTAACACTGAATAAACGTTCTACATTGTCACAAAGGCCAGTGTGTTCACTCCTTTGCATATGTACTATTGGTCCTCTTGCTAGAGTAGAGTGCTCAGGATCACCAACTTTTACTCAGCAGGCATCGGGTGTCCAAGCTGCATCATAGATGAGATCATTTTGTTTGGTGAATGTGGGTTATAAAAACTGTTCAGCACCGTGAAAGCCTCAAATGCTTTCCGTTGAATTGTTTTTTTGCATCCAGCTCTATTTGAAAAGCAGACTCACAAATTGTGACTTGGATCAAAAGAAAAATGTTAGTGTGCTCAAATGGTGCTGGTATGCAGTAGTATCAAAAGTATGTGTCCTAAGGTAGCTGATTTTACCGCTTACAGCACTAATTTTAGTATAGTAAATTGCAACGCTCTTGAAGGCCCTCTGCATTTCTGTTGTCTGTGAAAACTTCATGTACAAAGGTATATACATTTTTCTTTTCCAGTTTGAGCCCTGGTTATGTTGACCTGACGGAGTGTCCGTACATGTGGCCGTACTGTTCTCAGCCTATTTATTATGGTGGCATGCCAACCATTGTCAACATCACTATTCTAAATGGAATGGGAGTCACTGGAAGGATTGTGGACAAGGTAATGGTAATGTTAATTGAAAATCTCTACAAAACATTTTATCATCTGATGTCAAAACTAGTAATTTTCAGACATAAACAAGACCCACAAAATTCTTTGCTAGGATTTATTCTAGAACTAAAATACAGTGACTTTTGTAATGAGGTTTGTGTAACAACTGACCGATAGACCTGTCTTCTGTATTCAATAAATGTTTCTATAGGATACAATGAATCAATTGTGGTACATCTAAATGTATACATATAATGATTGCAACATTAAAAATTGTCTAAAAAAATAAAACATTCTCTAAATATCGTGATGTACAGTATGTAAAGTTCTGTTTAAATATTGGTAGTTGGCACATATTTCTGTAAATTGTATAAATATGTATCGCGGGCACATTATATCCTATCTACTGCAATTTTAAATCCCCTTAGACATAGTAGCAGGATTTTACGTATAAATGCATCTGCTGTGCCCGTTTGCAAAGGGTTCCATAGCTTCATCTAAAACTCCATTTTGAGTGTACAGTTACTTTTGCAGACATGTAGATCTTGGCTCAGCCCCCCACCACTAGTACCAGTGAAATCCTTATGCTGAGCAGAGGTGCTATGGTTTCCTTGCAAGCAGCCTCCTACTATTTTCATGGTTACACTGGCTGGGAAGGAGTGTTCATATTAGTCACACTTAAAGCCAACCTTTTGTATTACATTTGATGTTAAAGTCCATTTCCACCTTTGCAAGTGGAGTTAGGACCACACTTCACAGAGGTGCCTTGACGGAGCAGTGTGGCTTCTGCATATTTTTGGCCAAAGGTTTGTGCAACTAAAAACTCTGTTTTTAACTGGGGACTTTTTTGTGTTTTGTATTGTTAGCCTTCCAATGTGCACCCTGCTATAAAGGCTGGTTATATATATATTTACGTGGTTACCATTTCATTCTAGATATAAAGGGAACCTGGGGTAGAGACTGCCTGTCAGAAGGTCGTCTTGTGTTTCTATCCTCCTCTTCAACTGATATGTGACCCCACTGATGTTCTGAAGAGTAGTTTTAAATTGGCAACAGAGTTATTATCACTGATTGATGTATTTTTCTGGGTGGTCATACATATTTTTGATAAGTTTATGAATATCTGTTCTTGTAAGCAAGTAATATAACTTTACAACCTTGTCCCATTTTAATATTTACAGCCAGAATGGCAGCCATATCTACCACACAACGGGGACAACATTGAACTGGCATTCTCCTATTCCTCAGTACTGTGGCCATGGTCTGGCTATTTGGCAATCTCCATCTCTGTAGCAAAGAAGGCATCATCATGGGAAGGCATTGCTCAGGGTCATGTGGTGATAACTGTATCATCTCCAGAGGAAAATGGGGTGTGTATAGAATTGGCAATATAGCCTTTGTGTAATAATACTGGCATGGTATGAACAAGTATTGTATATCACAAGCTACCTCAAGCTGGAATGATGGACACGGTGTAGTATCCTTGGATCTTTGGTGATTTGCTTGTGGATTCATGAAAGAGATTCTGCTGCTCTTGTACCTTACATGACAGTGGATGCATTGGCTCAGGAATCTGATTTCATTTCAGTAAATAAACATTTAGCTTGCTTCTTGCGGTATCACTTTTTTTTTAAGTTCAGTTTTTGGGATGTGTGTTCTTTGAGCTAAACCCTGTCCTGCATATGCAGATTTGTGAATATTGTGGCCTTTCAGTACCATAGATTTATCGTAGTGTGTAGAAAAGAACCAAAAAGCAATATTTGAATGCGGCTTTTCAGGTGCCCAGACATCAAGACGTGTGTTGCTGCCTGGGTCCCTCCACAATCCTATTAAAATATTGCTTTTTGGTTCTTTGTATATGAAGTGGTGATGGTAACCGCATAGTGGGAATATGTGACATCTCCTTGCACTTCTATAGTGTGTGGAAATTCCTTTAAAATAATTTGATGCGTCTTCTACATATCAGATGTCCCCTCTTCCTTTTTCGACAGGTAAAAAATGGAGCCGAACAATTTTCCACAGTCAAGCTGCCAATTAAAGTTAAAGTAATTCCTACTCCACCGCGTAGCAAAAGGGTTTTATGGGATCAGTACCACAACCTGCGATATCCACCTGGCTATTTTCCTCGAGATAACCTTCGAATGAAGAATGACCCCCTGGACTGGTAAGCAGAATGTACCGGTAACCATTTTAGACTGTATGTTAACCTTAAAAAAATTATTCCAATTTTCTCCAGTTTGGTCTGATACATTTTCCGTTGAAGCATTTTGTGATTATGTTTAGATGAGCGCAAAATTTTTTGTCGCTGCCAGAAATATAAAGCTGATCAGGAGAAAACATACATTCCTGAGCTGTCCGTGCTGCAGTCTTATCAGTTACATTGTTCTCCGCTATCTCCCTAAACTACAAAATGTCCCCCATGTCATGGAAAAGGAAGCTTTGTGAGCATTGTTATGCTGAAATAGGGAGTGTGTTAATGCCAGGAGCACGAGGTGGGGAAAAAAATGGTAAGAAGAAAGCCAATGCAGCCACCACATCTAATACTGCAATTAGGGATGCCCCAATACCAAATATTAGGGCAAGTACTCGTACTCGCCCAAGTGCTTCCGATGCCTGTCTCAAACTTCCAGTATCAGGAAGCCGGGCGGCACATCATTACACACTGCCTGGCTTCCTGATTGGCCGGGTAGCCGGCTCCATACTCCCTCATTACCAGGAAGCATGAAGCTGGCTTCCTGTCCTATCGGGGGGGGGCGGGGGAGTAAAGACTCATCCCCCCCCCGGCTTCCTTATCGGCGTGGAAGCCGGCTCCATGCTCCCTCATCACTTGACGAAGGAGCCAGCTTCCCCACCGATCAGGAAGCAGGACGGCATGTAATGACTTTCCGCACAGCTTCCTGATTGGCCAGAAAGCCGGCTCCATGCTTCCTCGCACCTGTGAAGAGGGAGCATGGAGACTTCTTTCCAGCTAATCGGGAAGCTGGGTGGCGAATCATTACATGCTGCCCAGCTTCCTTAATGGGTCTTTCGGTATCGGCGAGTACCAGAAAGAAAATTTGCTTTTTTAAATTTGTGGTTTTCCTACTTTGTACTGCTCTGCATAATACAGTATATGGGCTCCATGCAAAAGTGTCATAATAACAAAGACAATGTTAATTTACTGTCTTCCAGGAATGGGGACCACATCCACACAAATTTCCGTGACATGTATCAACACCTGAGGAGCATGGGCTACTTTGTGGAGGTTCTGGGCTCACCTTTCACATGCTTTGATGCCAGTCAATATGGTACGCACTGTTTGCATAGTCCAGTTTTGTTAAGATAGTGTCTGAATAACCATTCATTGATATAGATTGCCTGTGAAGAGATACTTAAAATTTACTTTTTCATATCCAAAACAACAAATATCTCAAGTATGGCAACTCATACATAAGTACTATTCATATGTATATAACTTTTTTTGTGATTTTAACACATGGAGTTTAAGCCATGTCAGGTCACTTTTAGCTATGCATATCATATACATACTGCACCTTACTGTTCTTATCCCTTACTGTCTATATGATCTGAAGATTTTTGTATTTTGTTTAGGATATGGTCTATACATATTAAGGCAATGTAATGTAAAGCTGCTCATTGCTCATCAGTTGGAAGTATTATGCAGTCTCTGGACAATTACGTTTACAAATGACTGTTGCTTACACATGCATGTTCCTATCACCCAAGTGTGCATGTTTATTCAGTGGAGGAGAGGTTATTGATACCCCTAGTGCCTGGCTTTCCTAGGCGGGTACAAAATGCGTTTGGCTAAAAAATTCTCACTCGGGCAATCTGCTATCAGTCAGGTAGAGCTTCTGGAATCTATATGCTTAGTCAGCTTAATGCAGCTTTATCAACCAGATTCGACTGATGAACATTCTGAATCAATCAGTAACTTAACCCAGAGCAATGTATCTGAGAGGTTACTGGCTGCTGTGGGTAACAAGCTATTATTTGCACTTCTTTGTTCAAAGAATGTATGTGTGACATGGAATTAATGTGATTGTAAATGAGATGTGTAATCTACTTTTATCTCTGCCTGTTTTTTAGGAACTTTATTGGTGGTTGATAGTGAAGAAGAGTTTTTCCCTGAGGAAATTTCCAAGCTGCGCAGGGATGTGAGCAATGGCCTCTCTTTAATCGTCTTTAGTGACTGGTACAACACATCCGTCATGAGGAAAGTCAAATTCTACGATGAAAACACCAGGTACAGGCAGTTTCCCATCATCCAGAAGTGGCTTGTCGCACAAGTTCAATAGCATACAATGTTTTATAAGAAAGCAATCATGACTCAAATACATAGCCTGACCTTCTTTTGAAAATACTAGTTCTTTGGCTTCAGACGTTCTGGATTAGGTAGCACAGATCATCAATTATGCCTTCACTTGCTGCAGAGAGCTTCTTAATACTAAAACCAAAGGATCTCCTAAAAAAAACAAAACACTTAGCTGTCCTACAGTTCAGCAATGACGGCCTTCATATTTCTTTAACGACAGGTTTTATTTATGTACCACGTTTTTAATTGGGTATGTCAGATGGGTGTTTGGGGCTTCTCCTTTTTCCATGAGGTAATCGGCCAATGCCAGAATTTAATTTTAATGAAGCGCAAAGTAATTCTATAGATCCAGGCAACACTTCCTAAAATACTCAACAGCACAATACTGTAAGTAGGTAGGAATTCGTTCTCTTGTAATATTTCCATGTTCAGCTTGCCAGTCTTTCGAGTTTAGCTAACATGTTATTAGCGGGAATACATCAGGTGAAAGATTTTTTTTTTTTTTTTTTTAAACGAAAAACTTGTAAGTGTAGTTTTGAGGTTTTTGAAGGTGCATATACACAGTTACATAGTATTTGGGGTTGAATAAAGACATACGTCCATCAAGTCCAACCTATGAATGGGAACATCGATTGATTAAAGTGACCTTTTTACCAGAGGTGAAGTATTGTCATACACCAGTATGGAGCCAGTATGGTATAAAGACCGTTTATTTTGTATTGATACCAAAGCTGGCCAAGCGTTAGGAGCCGAGTAAGTTTGATGCAGTGCAACACTCCTTTTGTACACAGCTATGCAACTTGATTACTACAGAGAAATTAAAACCAGGAAGCACTTCTGTAGTTAACATGTTGACTGCACAAAATATTGGCCTGTACGGTTTACCAAGAATTAGTGGATGGATCATGGAAATTTACAGATGTGGACAAAGTTGTTGGTACCCCTCCATGGAAAAACAGGAACAATTTTCTCTGCATTAACTTGAAACTTATAAACGTAATTAGTAGCGATGTCCCGATACCGATACTAGTATCGGTATCGGGGCCGATACAGGGCATTTTCAGGAGTACTTGTACTCCTGAAAATGCCCTGATGCATAGAGCAGATACCGGCCCTTTTTTTTTTCAAGTGGCGGGCGGTAAGTGTTCTGTGAAGTGTCTCTTCTCCCTGCTGGTGCTGGCTGCAGCGGTCTGTGTCCCTATCACAGACCTCTGTAGCCAGCACGAGAAGAGAGAAAAGACTGACTGTGAAATCCCCCACTGCCCCCCCTGTACATTTGCTGCTGCTACTGCTGCTCCTCCTCCGTCCTTACGTGTCCCCTCTTTTTCAACTTGATGAAACTTTGCTTTTGGTAATATATCACAATGTTTGAGATGCCCGTGCTCCTTATGTGTAATGCATTCACCCGACGTACACAGCAGTTTTCACTCTCAATGAAAGAAGAGAATGTCCGTTCAATATGTTCACGAAGGGGGAGAGGAGAGAAGCTGTAAATCTTGCCTTCACACAGAACGGACCTTCTCTTCTTTCATTGAGAGGGAAAACTTCTGTGTACGTCTGGTGAGGGCATTATTAAACACATAACGTTTTTTTTTTTTAACAAACTTTTTGCATATATCTACTGCTTGCTAGCAGTAGATATATGCAAAAAGCCGGAGGGTTTGGAACCCGGAGGGTTTAGAAAGTTTTAAACTTCACCTTACAAAGTTCAATTTTGAATCCCTAACACTCGTCCCTGTACAAAAATAAATAGTGAAGTTCCCCTTTTACTTAAAGCCAGCGTTGAGTAATGAAATGTATAAATAAACCATGGTTGAGTGGAGATATCATTTAAATGTTTTTGATTTTTTTTTTAGGCAGTGGTGGATGCCAGACACTGGAGGAGCGAATATACCAGCCCTGAATGACTTGCTGTCTGTTTGGAATATGGCCTTTAGTGATGGTATTTTTGAAGGAGATTTTTCAATGGCGAGTCATGACAGTAGGTGCCATTTAACAGTTAATTACTCCCGTTATAGTCTTGGTGAGTATTTTGTTTTCCTTGCTAATAATTCACGATTCATTTCATTTCAGTGTATTATGCATCAGGCAGCAGTATTGCAAAATTTCCAGAAGATGGTGCTGTTCTGTCACAAACTTTAAAGGACCAAGGTACTGTTTGCCATAACGTTGTGTTTAACTTCAATTTTATTTTACTTGGATTCTTTATTTTCTTGTCCTAAAGCCATCTAAACCTAAAATCCTTGTTGCTGCTCTGATATTGATATATTTTGCCAAATCCCATTTTTAATATTTGATTTTATCTCCTCCTCTGTATCAGGACTTGAAGTTTTAAAGCAGGAAACCTCGCTTGTTGAAAATATCCCTGTGCTAGGACTGTACCAGACTCCGACTGAAGGAGGGGGGCGAATTGTCCTTTATGGAGACTCCAACTGCTTGGATGACAGCCATCGTCAAAAAGGTATTGTCCCCTGTATAGTAAGAGAATTTAATTTAATCCCATACAGTGTTGCGATGTCTATTCTGGGAGATGATTGATGATTCAGCAATACCTCATCCTTTTTGCAGTTGATTACTGACCAGTAAAGTTCATTTTAGATCTACTAGATTTCTGTTCATTAATACAAGTTCAGATATTTAGGCTGTACATTGGTTTCCCTGTCAGAGAAAGTTTTCAGATTTCCACTGTGGTATCTAAAAGCCAAGATGATCAGCATGGATGTACAAGGGCCACGTCTGCACATGTGTGTACATTGTAGTCTTATGGCTAGATGGCTAAATTGGTGAGAGAGTTTTCCAGATTGGGTTGTCACAATGATTAGGTTATTGTGCATAATTGTATCTGGTACTGATTAATGTTACTCTGATTTGGGGTTTTATATTCCCTCTCTGCACAGTTTATGCAAGGAGTTAGAATCTTGTGATCTTAATTACTTGTAGTTACAGGTGAAACTCGAATAATTAGAATATCGTGCAAAAGTAATTGCAGTAAGTGCTGCAAAAGGGGCCCAAACCAAGTACTGAGTACATATGCATGCTTGTACTTTTCAGAGGTCCGATATTGTTCTATGTACAATCCTTGTTTTATTGATTGCATGTAATAATCTACTTTTTTGAGGTTGTGGATTTGGGGTTCTTGGGGTTTTCATGAGCTGTAAGCCATAATCGTCACAATTATGACAAATCACGGCTTGAATTATCTTGCTTTGCATGTAATGAGTCTATCTCGTATATTAGTTTCACCTTTTAAGTTGCATTAGTGAAATAAATGAACTTTGCACGATATTCTAATTATTCGAGTTTCACCTGTATGTAACCTTTTTTTTGTCTTTCAATGCCCACAATAAAACCTTGCCTGATCACTAGTGATGTTGCTACAAGGTCGAGTGCTAAAATGATTGTTTGGCGAATAATCTTAACGTAATCATCTTCACTTAATCCAAGAAGCAGTGAAGGGACGCACATCAAGCGGCTCAGACTGAAAACTCTCATAGGTTAGCCACGCATTCACAATCAAGTAGACCAGTTGTGAAGACTGGGCATCGCATGAGTTCACTCTGAAAGAGAGATAATCAGCATGCGCACATATTGAAGGAGCTTGCTAATCTTTGTGTATGATCAGTAATTGTTCTTCTTTTTTTCTGCATTGAAAAAGAACATTCACCTTGCCTTGAATGCAACCTAATGTTGGCAAAGCTAAGGAGATACGTTAAAACCGATTTGTGAGATATGTGGCCATTATAACACAGTTTTAGGAGATGTAAATTTATTCTTTGCTTATCTATAATGGTGTAATGGGTAGAAATATTTGGTTTGATGTCCTGTAATAAACTGTTGATTTGAAGTTGCTGAATGTGAGCCTGACCACAACTTAAAAGTGCTCTCCATCTGTTATGTAGATTGCTTCTGGCTGCTCGATGCCCTCCTGCAGTACACATCCTATGGAGTCTTACCAGCAAGTCTCAGTCACTCTGAAAACAGGCAGAAGCCACCAACCGGTGAGGGGATCCTACAACCAGAGAGGATGGAAGGTGAAGAAGTCATCTTTCTTGTTTTTTTATATTAAAGGGGGACTATGGTTTTTGTTATGGTTTTGTCTATGCATATGATGAAGATACTCTTCATTGAAATACTATCAGTGTGCATTATTATTTTGAAAATATAGTTTCTGGATATAGTTTGTAACAATATATCTACAAGGGTGGACATGCATTCTCTCCTTGTTTTCTACCTTGCTGATCTTCTTATCTCGCTGGGTCTACCAGATGTCCATCTTATTGAGACACCCGCAATCCTCATTGGTAGCCAGGAGACTATGTGGTCAAGGCTACCTAGGTTTTAGGTCACATGGGGAAGCCTTTATTATTCATGGCAAAAAAATTTTCCCTATCAAAATGTAATTTGCCCTCTTGATCCTTATGAATTTAATGTGAGGTGAAAGGTGGAACCAAAACATGACAATAAATATATTTTCAAAAACTCCCAAAATATGTAAATATTTTATCGTTCTGAAATGTAGTTAACAGAACAAGGTAAGCAGGGATAATTGTGCATCACTTTTCTTTCTATATAAAGTGCTGTTACAACTTTTAGATTTGCCCATTTCATTTTTTTATTTTTTTTATTACATATGCATAGTTATAAACAGTTACAGAGCAGGAGTGAGGGTGGTGATAGCCATTTATCTCCCCAAGAATCAGGGTTGGATTATGTATTTTTGTTCCTAGAGAATTCATCAGAGAGGGGCACCCCACTGCAGTCCCTCTCCAGTGGCAAAACTGGCAGATTTGTAGTCTGGGCAGGGAAACATTTGTTTCCCAGGCTAGTACACATATATGTTGGGCTGGTGTCCCTGAGTGGAGATACTGCAATATTCAGAGCAGGACTTCGGTCAATGAGGGGGCATTATCTAGCTCTTTCTGTTTTCACCTGTGGTCACACCGCCTGGCAGAGGGAGTTTTTCAGTATCGACTTCTATTTTGGCTGAGATGTTATGTGCCCGAATGGAGAGAGGGAGAGCTGCAAACATAATCAGTGCAAGATGCATGTGAAATGTTTTGAGCTCATTTGTTAGGGAAGTGGAATGGTAAGTATTATTTGTGGTGATTCCATGGTATTTTCTTTTGGCGAGTCCATATCATTTTCACAGAGCAGCAGTCCTCCAACTCATAGAGAACTTCCTCAAATTCAGTCCATTCCTTGTAATCCCTATATTGTTTGCTTATGTATGTGAAAAGTGTGTTTATAGTAATCAGGATTCTGGCCTTTCACCTTATACCTCCAAGAACTGCAACATACTTGGCGTGGTACACTTTAAGCCCACAGGAAACTATACCCACCAGGAAAGGGCCAGTTGTTTTTGTTTGCTTCTCAGGCCAAAAGTTCCCAGTCCCTGCCTGTTTGTAATATTTCCTTCTAGGGGTGCATTGATACCGATACTACCTTTTTAGTATCTGTATCAATACGCAGTATTTAGGTGAGTACTCGATTTTGCCCAAATGCTCCGATACTTATCCCGATACCAGAACTGCTGGTCGGAGGGAGATTTTCTCCGAGCGGCAGTGCCCCAAAGGAGTAAAGAGCCGCCTTTCGGCCAATCAGGAAGCCGGGCCGTGGGTAATGACTTGTGGCTCGGTATACTGATTGGCTGGAAAGCCGGCTTCCCAGCCAAACTGCATGGAGCTGTCTTCCCGGGCAATCAAGAAGCCGGGCAGCGGGTAATGACACGCTGCCCGGCGTCCTGATTGCCCGGGAAGCTGGCTCCATGCTACCGGAAGTACCCGTACTCAATATCGGTGCTCAATAATGAGAAAACGTCCCACCTTCCTTCATTCATCTGCATTGAAGAATGAGGAATCAAGCCCACTCACAGGTTTATATACCAACAATGCTTGAAATCTGGAGCATTATATACTGTTTTAGCCACTCTGCGACTAGACCCATGCTAGGTAGACGTGTGTTTTTTGCTGCAGTTTACATAATCTTGCAAAAATAGAGTATTCTTCTATCTCGTATGCTTGGCTTTACTGCAGACTACACAAGTCAGTATAGATATATGTTGGGATGGTGGCTCAGAGTGAAGATACATAAGCATTGGGTATCTTGCTACAAAAGGGGCTGTTGTGGTGATGGGAGATGGCACAGTGGCTTAGTATGGTCAGAACACTGGCTCCCTTGGCTCATTCACATCGTGTTCTCTGTGTTTGTGTGGGCCCTTTTGTGACTATTGTGAGTATGATTTACAGTATGAACATTAGTTTGTAAGCAGAAAATTAAAGAAAATGATCCGTGTTTTGGTCAGCACTATTTATATTAATACTTTTTTTCTTCTTTAGGAAATCATCTTTATCGCTATTCCAAAGTGTTGGAAGCACATCTTGGAGATCCCAAACCACGACCTTTACCAGCCTGCCCACATTTATCCTGGGCCAAACCACTGCCACTCAATGAAACTGCTCCTAGGTATGCTCCTTAGTAAAGGGCCCATCACACATTACTACCGTATACAGTCTGTAGAGAAGCATCTTTTAACATTCCCATGTGTGTAAAATGTCCCACTCCTTCGTTAAAGCACATTAATGACTCAACTTTGAACCTAACTTGTCTCAGATGTATGAGTTAGTAACGTACTGCCTTTCCTAAAAAGATCTTATTGGTATCTAAACAATGACCGTTAGGAATGAGCCGTGTACAGTCTAAAAGCTGCCACACCTTGCCAAGTTCATTCAAGAAATTCATCTGATTTGAGTACTGAGGTAACATAGGGGTTAATACCTAAATAATGAGTGGTTGTGAGTAGTGATGGGCTTGGGCGTGTTCGCAGCTCTACATGCCGAGCCCGCCAGGAAGCTGACAGCTCGCAGCGCCAATCACGGGTACTGAGACATTTCCCGATCTCTGTAGCTGCGGACCAGGAAATGTCTCAGTACCTGTGATTGGCGCTGTCAGCTTCCTGGCGGGCTCGGCACGTGGAGCTGCGAACACGCCCGAGCCCATTACTAGTTGTGAGTAACAGAAGTTATGTGAAACTGTCGAGAGATGTTTTTTTTTCTTAGTGCTATAAGTTAAATAGGCAAAAATCTGTAAGATGACTTAACCAGGGACAATAATGATATGTGATCGGGAGAGGCTTTCTAACATGATATTATTGAATTGTCATTTTCTTCAGCAACCTGTGGAAGCATCAGAAACTGCTATCAATAGATTTGGAGAAAGTGGCTCTGCCCAACATCCGTCTGAATCGACCCCAAGTTAGACCACTGTCACCAGGAGAGAGTGGCGCATGGGACATACCTGGAGGTATGTTACTATTCAGCTGCCTAGTCTTCCGATTATGATTCATTATTTTACAGTTTTCTGTGTCATCTTAAAAGCTCTGAACTGGAGAACCCTCTACTATATGTTCCAATTCGCACAACATAGCTAAAGAAATTTAAAAATCCTTACCTTTCTAGTTTCTTTGGAGCAGGATTATATACAGGCATCTATAGGCAGCCTGTGATGTTTAGAATAACTTGGTGTGCCTTTTTAAGGACACATAAGGGACAGATTCGATTTAACATACAATGTTTTACCCAAGCCTTGATATCTTTAATCCTTTGTTAGGACAAAAACACTAGCGTGCTTATGTAGTTTACAACTGATAATCAAGATCTATGAAAAGGTAAATATCACCGGCGCCAGCACCCGCGACTATTCATAAATGATGCCCAAGTACACTCTTAAGGCAGCTCCCACTGGTCAGGGAAAACCGGGGCAGATCTATAAAGCATAAAACAAAGGAGCTCCTCCATAGTGTAAAAAAGTTTTAATGAAGCAAAAAAGAACAGCTAGGACTGTACTTCCCAACGACTTTAGAATTCAGGCTTGAAAATTCTAAATATTATGAATAGTCGCAGGTGCTGGCGCCAGTGATGTTTACTTTTTCATAGATCTTGATTACCCCTGCTTTAAGCCATGTAATGAAGATACATAAAATGTGTCCTTCAGGTTATACTGCCGCCTACAGGACTGTGCTATAATTTATTCTGCTCTGCTGCGTAAAAGACTAACCTGTTTTTTTGCTAGCGCTAATTTTTTCTTCAATATTTTTTTCTTCAATGAAGACTTCTGCATCACTGCTAGAGCTGATGCTTAGCCACCCTCCAGATGGAAGGACAGTGTCAGCACTAATTCAGAGATAATTTGAGGATTTACTGCTGAGTGATACACAAATAAGATATATTTTTGTTAACCACTTGCCGTAAATTCTTACTATTTGCACACACATGATAAAATATAAATTTTTGGCTAGAAAACAGCTTCAGACCCCCAAACAATGAGATTTTCTGAAAGCAGATGCCCTGCAGAATAAAAAAATGCTAGTTGCAATTTTATATGCCACACGGTATTTGCGCAAATGTTTATCAAACCAGTATTTTTGGGATAAAATACACTAAATTTAAATTTAGTGCACGGAGACACATTATAATACCCAATTTTTTGGTAAAATATAAAAGATGAGGTCATGTCAGGTAAATAGATACCAAACATGCCAGGCCTTAAAATTGTGTTTGCCTGTGAAGCCACAAAAAACTGAAATACCCCAAATTTCAATATAGCAGATAGGGTGTGACAGGTCCTCTTTATGGAGACATGAGGGGTCATTCAGACCCCTAATGTCACCTAGAGACCCCAAAGAAGCTGTTTCTCCTGGCTCTAAGAGCCGGAGAATGTAAATAGTGACGCCAGAAGTGATGTAATACACATCTCTTCTGGGTCCAGTGATCCGAGGTGAGAATCTTCCTCTGATCGCTGCGGGGAGACCCGCCAAGCCGGTCCCAGGCGCCACACAGGGACAGTGGAGCCTGGGACCGCCCCCCTTCCTGTCCAGGCCATTTTTCAGTATTCAGCGCTGCGGTACTTTAACTGACATTTATTCCGTCATGCAACGCTGCAGTGAAATTAATTTTATACCATTTTATTTGGTGACAGATAGAGCTTTCTTTTGGTGGTACTTAATCACCACTGGGGTTTTATTTTTTACAATAAAAAGGGAAAGAAAAACTAAAATTTTAGAGGGGAAAAAAAACTTTCCTACATTATGTTATGAAACCTTTATTATTGCCCAAATTTTTTGGCAAAAATATAAAAGATGAGGTCATGCCTAAAATGTGGAATATAACATGGGTGCAAAAATGGAAAAAAGGGCCTCAGTCATGAAGGGGTTAAATAGACACCAAACTCATCAAGCCTTAAAATTGCGTGCGCCCGCAACATCACAAAAGACTACCAATCCCAAAATGCGGTGTAATGTGCGCAATCGTCGGTTTCACATGTAAGCGCACCAGACGCATGTTTGTATGGGGGCTGGGGACTTTTAAAACATTTTTGTGTTTTTTGTCCTGCCGTGCCATACCTCTCATTGGTCAGATGAATGTGCTGTGATTGTTATTGGAAATGCTTGGGGCAGGTTTGCATTTATGTGTACGGCCGTTACACCCACTGCGGCAGGGGGTAATGGTGCTTCACACAAAGGCATGACCAGCAGGGGAATGGGGGAAGACGCAGACTTGTGGGGGTAATTTTGTTTTCTCACATTTGGTGAGAAACTTGAATTGCCCTTTAAGAAACGTTACTTTCGTTTCTTCACTCCCTACCCACAGCTGACCTCTCAGTCCACCTACACGGTCTGGGGCTCTAAGTTTGCCAAACCTCAGACAAACCTTGCTTATCATGAATTTGCACCCCCGCCTGTTGCTATTTGTTTGCTTGTTGCCCACCTGTCAGTTGGACTGTTTTTAGACGTCCGAGGGTGAGACACTTCCTGTGTCCCTCAATTGGCGATTAAATAAAAAAGGAGTTTTATATACACAACATAAAATTATTCAATAATATAGGAACATTGGGCTCTCTCTTCTGTAATTATGATCATGTTGTCGGTGCTGCTTTGATACAAAACTAAGGCTGGTAGAAGGTGTTATCCTGGGCTGGCCTACCTTTTTTTTTTTGCCAATGTCCAGTCCTCCTGTAGGAGGAAGTACAATCTGAAGATTTAAGGCTTTCTTTGTCCCTCAATGGACACCATGAGAAGGATTTTACAATCAGTACAAAAATATATTTTACCAAATGTGCACGTCAATCTAAAGGGAATTAATAGTGGGAGTATAGAGTACGAGTACCGAAAGGATGTGAATAGATCCATGTGCTCTATAATGTGCTGTATATATACGAGAAATAAATATTGGACATGTATAATAAAGCGAGAGACAGCCAGGTATTTATCTCTTTACAGGTTTAATTTAAAGAATGTGAGAATTGGCTTAGACACCTGGGATAGAACATGTGAACAAAGCAATAAAAGGGTTAACATAGAAGCTTAGAAAATTCACACATGACATGTATAGAAGTGTTCATCTTCAGAAGAACAGCTTTATTCTTAGGCTGGCTAGACTTTGGCTTTATTGCAGTAGAAAGAAACAGCTGACAGATGCCTTTATGTTGAAGTGTCATGATCGTTTGCCTTTTATCCATCTGTTTGAGAAAACTAAAATCTTACTGACATAGACATATATATTTAACAAGCTGGTGCAAAAAGCAGAGATGTGACTCAAATGATTATACAGAGCAACCGATCAGTTTTCCATCCGTTACTCGGTCCATGCCAGTCCAATTTGGTTTTCAAAAAACATTTTGTGCTAGCGGGGGGGAAGCGGCCCTCGATAATGCAGAGAGCAGTTCCGATGTCCGCACCCCTCCCTGCATCCATACATTGAGAACAGGGTGCCTTAGTGAGGCTTTCTGAGGGGCGCTGGTCCATGACACTGTACTCGCAGTATATCCCCTTTCGGGTTGAATAATGCTTGGAGTCATTCATCCTAGAACACTGCGGACATCTTGCGGTGGGGCTCTAGAGAGATGGATAGATTGATGGGCATGTGGTGGACTGAGAGAGATGGGCGTGTGGTGGATTGAGAGATGGGCGTGTGGTGGACAGAGAGAGATGGGCGTGTGGTGGACAGAGAGAGATGGGCGTGTGGTGGGCTGAGAGAGATGGGCGTGTGGTGGGCTGAGAGAGATGGGCGTGTGGTGGCCAGAGAGAGAGAGATGGGCGTGTGGTGGCCAGAGAGAGAGAGATGGGCGTGTGGTGGCCAGAGAGAGAGAGAGAGATGGGCGTGTGGTGGTCAGAGAGAGACATCTAATTAAAAAAATGTTTTATTGTTGCAGAAAAATATGAGACTAAAGCTTAATCCTGTGTTTAATACTTTCTTCATATAATCAGTACTTTATTATAATTTTTTTCCCCCCATTTCTAGGCATAATGCCTGGACGCTATAACCAGGACGTGGGACAGACTATTCCAGTCTTTGCATTTCTTGGTGCTATGGTAGTCCTGGCTTTCTTTGTGGTGCAAATCAACAAAGCCAAGAGCAAGCCAAAGAGACGGAAACCCAGAGTGAAGCGACCTCAGATCATCCAGCAGTACCACCAACCAAAGACACCATCTGTCTGAGCCGCCACTGGGCGCACTATGTATGGCCAGCTGGACTTTTATCAACAACCTTGCAGAAACTGTGTAAAACCTGGCACCCCAAAGACAAAACTTTAACTGATACTTTCAGGTCGCTGACCTACTGACCAAACTGGACCTTCATAGAAACTACTCCTTTTTTATATTTATTATGTCGAATAAGCCCTTATTAAAGGGTTTATCTCTACCAAAAAGGGACATTTTGGGGCAATTGCAATATTTTGCTAAGACTTGTGCCCAGCACAAATAAATCAAGGCATGAGATCTTTTACAGGGGGATTGAACCCTGAAACAGTGACTTTTTTTATATTTCAGTTTTTGTAATTTTGATCATCATTCCATCTTGTATAGGTGGATATTGTTTTCAATAAATAAGCATCTTTAATAAAGCACATCATATTGCCCCAAGATCATGCATATGTGGTATAGCTGCAAGTTATTCATGTATTGTATGGTCTGCCTGTACAGCTTGATTTTACCTGAAACCACAAAGTGGTTAACTTGTCTTTGTTAGGCAACAAGCTTTAAAACTGTACAGGTGTCTGTTATACCTGCATCAAGGGACCATTGATCTTGGTAAGTAACACGGCACATGGTTGTCTGCTATCGGAACAAACTGATAGCACAGGTCCTTCTGTTTTTAGTGCCTGCAAATTTATATCAATTTTCATACCTTTTTATGTTTTCCTGTGTGTTAAAGATGAGAAATTCAAAGAAGAGCATATTATGGGGTTGTTTAGCCTGTCCGAGAACATTGGTGGATGCTGCAGTTGTTACCCAAGAACAGGCACCAGAAGATACCTTTACAGTCTTTAATTTATTTGGTGAGCCTCACTCAAGCTGTCTATATAGGCAGCGATTTCTGCTGCAATTCTGAGCTAATTCCAACCCCAATCATTCAGCAATGTCATGGCAGAGCCTCAGCCTTTGGTAATTAGAAGTGGTAAAAAAAAAGGCTCTAGTTGGGGTGGAGCTTAGGCCAGGTCATGGCAGAATTTGAGGCTCATGTGGACAGTGTGCCTGGGATCAGTCAGAGTCCCTAGATGCACCAGAAATGTCTTTTTTTTTTCTTTTAAACAATTTTGGTGGTTTGCTAACAGGATCGCTTTGTTGTCACATGTGAATCACCATCTCTGTCTCCTTTGAAGACATGAACTTTGCACATCTCATGTGGCTGGAAAATAATCCCCGCATTTTTCAGGAAAGAACAGCATATATAGTGTGTGGGGGTGGGGTTTTTTCTCCTCCTATATCACCTTTGGGAGTAAGGCCATGTGGACTTAAAACTCATTCTTATATAGAGAACATCTTTAGATGCACTGCATCACCTGGCTACAAATGAAACGCCATTAAGCAACCCAAAATGACACAAAGAGAAAATGGCTTCAAATTAAATACATGTTTCCATTATATGTGTGCTTTTCAGGTGCTTTATAAAGCTTCTGTATACAATGTCTGAGTACAATACATCTTTCAGCAGGCAGTTTCTGCAGCTATAACTGTCATAAAATGCTGCGTCCTTGGTTAACTGAGACCTCTTATAATGGCTACATATGTCAACAATTGTGGCTACTGGATGCTGGAAAACATTCCAGCTTATTGAAGGAATAACTTTTAGAGCATTGAGATCTTGTTGAAAACCTGATATCGGTTCTCACCTGTAGATTTAATCCCAGGAGCTTCTCCATGGGTTGAACCCTCTCTCTACTGCAGATGGGTGTGGACCAACATCTGACTCTCTTCACTATTAAGGATCAGGTTTCTACCCTTACCATTCTGTTTCTGGGACTGTTAACTTCTTACTCTTTAAAGTAGTACTAAAGGCTGGGTGTTTTTTTTACCTTTAAGGCAGGTTCACACCATTTTCTGGACCAGATCTGGTCCGGAAAATGGTGTGAACCTGCCCGCAGTTCCAGTGCATTTCAGACCAGACAAAATGAGACGTAGTATTTGTCTGGTCTGGTCTGGAACGGACTGTGCTGGTGTGAGCAGAGGGATACATTTTGGGTCTGGAAACAGTCTGGTCTGGAGATGATCTGGATGTGGTGTGAATGGGCCCTTAATAGATTCTCTGCACACACTTACCTGTAGCTACTCGTCTCCCCTGCAGCGAACAGGAAGACACTTAGGCTTTCCAACCTTCCTGTTTGCAGGGGAGGGTAATGAGGGCATAGGAGCCATAGGCTCCTTCTGCCTTCATTCAAGCTGTGACTCCAACGGTGGAGGCGTGACCGGCCGCATGCTATGTGTGTGTTTATGGATGCACACCGGTGCAGGCGTGGCTGTTCACATGCGGGTGCCTACACAGGGGGTGGGGCTAAGGGTCTGGGTACCACTAGAGAACAAGTTGCACGATTCTCGTACGATCGCGGGATTTCCCGCGATTCTCGTACGAGAATCGTGCAGTGTATGGGCACCTTTTAGAAAGACTTGATAACCTTTTATTAATTCTTGGTTGGCCCTGAAAGGGCACCCTGGCTTCTCATTCCACCATTTTTAGGTCACTCAGTCAGCCCAAAATTCATGTTCATGGTCTGAAGGATCTGGTTCCAACCTTTCCTGTTAAGGCACTCTCTACTAGATCTGTAAAGAGTTGGGCTTTTCCACATCAAGCTGCCACCTGGTCTTCAGTTTAGATGTTCTCTCAGTTCTAGGTGAACATTTCTGTCTCATCTGGTGTAATCTTTGGACTTAAGGGCATTCAGATGGCTGTTTGAGCTGCAGGCAGTCCCCAGTTCCATTTGTTTACATGGGGCCTCTTAGAAAATGTTTGCTGTGCTTCCCACACCTCAGTTGGACTGCTTTTGAAAATCCAAAAGGTTTAAGACTTCCTATGTCCCTCAGTGGATGAGAAAAAGAGATTTTTTGTACTCGTTGTAAAATCATTATTGGATCATAATGGTAGTAGGAAGGCTAATGTTAGGATGGCCTACAAATGAACTCTAGGAAAAGGATTTCAAGGTGATTACAAAAATCCCCTTTTTTTTTTTTTTTTGTTCCTTTTTTGTAAACTTTTATATAATCTGAATCCGCATTCTTGAATTGTTATAATAGTCCAGTTTTAATACTCGGACACCTTGATGTTCCATATTCTGTCCCTTTAGTGTTGGAGCTGGAAGCCTCTAATCAGTGCTGATAAACATTTTTAATGTCTTATTCACACATCCGTTAACGTGTGTGACTGTTCTGTGCATTAAGGCATCCCATGCATTATTAATGAGTTGCCAACGCACATGAATCTCTTTCTCAATCGTCTATTGAGGGACACAGCTCTGAAGAATTCTGAGATATAACAAAGAAACAAAATAAACCAGAAGAGAAGGGGACATCCATTCTCCTGAGGACACTTGCAGGCGAGAGGGGTTTTGTCCTTAAAGTGGCAGAATCGTGCAGTGTATGGAAGGCATGCGACCGTTTCTACTGTACGGTCGCACGCCTTCCATCGAACCAGCATGTTTGAAAACCCGCCGGGAATCGTACGATTCTCGGCGTTTTTTGTTTTTTTTGCCAACTGTTCAGGCATTTCCTTCTGGAAGCAGGCATTGTTCAGGCATTTCCTTCTGCTTCCAGAAGGAAATGCCTGAACAGTTGGCAAAAAAAAACAACAAAGCCTGCCACTTTAAGGACAAACCCCCTCTCGCCTGCAAGTGTCCTCAGGAGAATGGATGTCTCCTTCTCTTCTGGTGTAGAAATGGAAGAGAGCCCTCCGCACACCTTACAGCAGTCCCGGCCAATTTAGGATGATGGTGCTCGAAGTGACCAAATCACGGATGGCACCGTGCAAACACAAAGCAAAAAGGTAAAAAGTCACCAGCACTCGATTTTTTTGAAAGTAAATATGTCCCTTTATTGGACAAAAGACGTCATAGGGGAGTCGACGTTTCGGGGCCACACAGGGTCCGTTCTTCAAGGCAGAAAGTATGACCATACTTTACGTCATACTTTCTGCTTTGAAGAAGGGACCCTGTGTGGCCCCGAAACGTCGGCTCCCCTATGACGTCTTTTGTCCAATAAAGGGACATATTTACTTTCAAAAAATCGAGTGCTGGTGACTTTTTACCTTTTTCCTTCTCTTCTGGTTTATTTTAGTTTATTTTGTTTCTTTGTTAGTTAAAAGGGTTGCCTGCCTTGTACCTAATACCTCGGCTAGGATGGTTTCCAAGTTGTTTGCCGTGTTTAGTGGAGAACCCGATTTGTTCTTCATAAGGACAAGGTGGTTTTAAGATCGTAGGTTTTTTTGTTTACTCAAGGTGGTTTTAGAGTTTTATTTACCTTCACTTTGTCCCGCTCCTATTCATCCTAAGAAAATGTATCTTCCTCGTTTGCATGTTGTGCAAGCTCTTAAAGTTTATCTGTCATCCACTGCTCCCGTTAGCCATTTAGATCCTTTATTTGTTCTACTTGAAGGTCTTCGAAAAGGTTGTTTAGCTTTTAGTTCTGTTATTTCTAAGTTGATTTGTCAGGTTGTCATTCAAACTTATGAGTTTGAGGATAAGGTTCCTCCTTTTCCTGTTTCTGCTCATTCTACTAGGGTAATTAGTACTTCTTGGGCATTTCAGAATCAAGCTTCTGTTACTCAAATTGCAAGGTCGCAACTTGGTTTTCTGTTCACACTTTTGCTAAGTTTTAAAAAGTTGATGTTTCTGCCTCTTCTAAATCTAGTTTTTGCAGGGAAAAAAAAAAAAACTTCAGGCAGCTGTTTGAGTATTTGAGCTGGATGTTTTTACGGTGCCTGTCCCTCCTGTTTTGGATTGCTTTTGAATGTCCCTCTGTCTCAGAATTCTTCAAAGCTGTTTCCCTCAAAGGACAATAGTAATAGGATATTGTTCTTACCATAAAATCCTTTTCTCAGCGTCCATTGAGGGGACAAAGCTCCCTCCCCTCATTTCCTTTTATACAACTGTGAGGTGGGAGAAGTTATGTTTCCATTTAGAATTTTTATTGGATTTTATCAAATTAGACTTAGACAAGTAATGTAAATGGCAGAACATCATAACACAACAGGATACCACTTCACAATCAAATCATAGAGAACATACGAAGTTTCTCAGTTGAGAAAAGGTGGGAGAGGTTATGTCCTTAGAGTGACAGAGTGTCCATTTCTCCCGGAAGTAGCAGCATAACCCTACCTCTTAGAATTCTTCCATGCTGTGTCC